AAATAATATTTTTCCAACTTGGCCAGTATATGCTTCCCATATGTGTATTTGCGCAAAGTAGTAATGTGAGGTCGAATCTGAAAAACAAAATATCTGCTTAGGAAATCTGTTATTTTAGGTTCTTAATTATTGTTGTTGTTGTTCTTTAAACCAAAAAAGTATATATATAGTTGTAGTTGAACACAATACCTTTATTTATTTATTTTTATGTCGTGCTGAGGATTGAAACCCATTGACTCGCATGTGGTAGGYGAGTGTTCTACCACCAAGCCACAACCTCAAATTYGGGTAATTCAGAGAAATAATCACAATTTATAATTTTAAATTCAAAGCAGTTCTGATCCATTCAATTTCTCCAAATATCTGCTCTCAAAATTGTTAAATGAATAAACAAACCACTACTTTTTAAAACAATGTCACATGCAAATAGAGGAATACATAATACAGTGGGAAAGTATCGTGAGGGAGTAATAACATTCTTTAAAAACCCTATCTCTATCTTTCCTTCCAGATTGGCAAGGCTAAAAATAAATATAATACCTGGATTGATGAGCATAGTATAGTAAAATAGGCACTCTTCTCACATAACTAGATAGGCAGACACATATCTTGCATGAGATTTTTTGAGTGCAACTTGGCAGTATCTATTAAAATGTAAAATGTTTACATGCTTTGACCCAGTCACTCCATATCCAGAAATCTACAACACCCAAACATTTAATTATGCAAGTTTTTAATATAAATACTTATAATCTGAGTTTTTAAACATGATGTTGGCTTATAAAGCACCAATAAAAATTATGGAAAAAAAGAGACAAAAATAAGCACATACTTATATAATCTGAGTTTTAAAATACGATGTTGGCTTAATAAATTATGTAGCTGTTAAAAATAAGATCAAATTTTTTTTTTGTATAATTTTAAGCAGAAACACTGAAGTAAAAAAACAGGAACTTTAGTACAAGTTAAAGGATAGATTTTAAAAATTGGCACTATAATTAATAGTAATTAATCATTATATATTAGCTACTAATTGACCCCCAAACACTTTTATGGCAGGAAGGGATCTAAAGCCTTTAAGTCCCAAGTTTTCAATTCCAAGTTATCACGGCAGTATGTTTGTTGCTCAATTAAGGTTTTTATAGGTGCTCTGCATCTGAGATAATGGAACAAAATGGGTTAAGAGATCATTTCCCCTCTATATGAAGAAATCCAAAGAGGATATAAAATTTGCTTCTGTTTCCTAAAGAAATAAATTTAGAAAAAGTTCCAGAGCATTAAAATATCATTTCTTCTTCTTCTTTTAAAAGTTTTCCTATAGCCATTAACAATTTCTTAAACAGTCATTAGATTCTAGGGAGAAAACAACCTCAGAAAGTATTAGGAGGTATTACTACATGAGGTGAAAAATCATATTAACCCAAAATTCTCTTTGGAAAGACTTGACCAGTTAGTGGGAAAACCTAATTACATTTTTAAAGATCAATGTTCAGTTCATGACTATGAACTAAATAAGAAAGGGGAGGAAAAGAATAATGTTAAACATAGGTAACAACATTCATGTGGATTTTATGAACAGGTTACCTTAAGAATTTAATAAAAAGAAAATCATCTATGGAAGGTTATCCATTTTTTTCCCCCTCTCCAGTTATAGCACATACAAAGAAATTATACCTAGGCAAGTTTAAATATGTAGCCAAAGTCACACAAACTATGTATTACCTTGTGCATGATTATCTTTCTCTGAGCAGGTTCAGCCATGTCAATCATCTTCTGAACCACATAATTGGCATACTGATCCTTCATCATGGTGTATAAGGCACTGTGAGGACCATCGTTCTGGCAGCAAACTTCATCAATCAGTAAAGCTCTCTCAGCACGGGAGGCATGAGTAACACACTTTTCTACCACATTGCTAGAAACAAAACAACCTTGTTATTTTTTCTTAGATGTCTATAACTTTTCAAAGAATTTGCTCCAACATATTAGAAAACAGAAGAGGCATTAAGATGGGGTTTTCTTGTTTTACAATTACTTTAAAATCAGGAATTTGGGTTGGGCCATGTGGTGCACACCTATTTTAGGCTGAAGCAGGGCCACAAGCTCCAGGCCAGCCTGGGCAACACAGCAAGACTCTGTCCTAAAACAAAATAAAGTACAAACTAGCACACGTGAGGCAATGGGTTTGATCCTCAGCACCATGTAAAAATAAGTAAATAAAATATAGGTATTGTGTCCATCTACAACTAAAAATATTTTTAAAAACATAATTAAAAAAAAAAAAAAAGGCTGAAATGCAGCTCAGAGCAGAGCACTTGCCTGACATCATGAGGCCCTGGGTTTGATCCTGGGCACCAAAACCCAAAACATCCCCCCCCGCCTTTTGCTACCACCAAGAAAATGGCACCATAGAATAACCCACCTTTTGACATTTGCAAATTTAATTATGGGTGTTAAAATTATAATCCAAAAAAGAAAATTACATTGATAATAAAGTCTGACTTTCAAAAACATGCACTGAATACATCTGCATTTTCTTACTGGTCTTGGGGATCAATATTTTCTAAATACAGATTCAAAAGTGGAATAAATGCGGATAAAAGCAATTAGTTATGTGTGTTTAAGAAGGGGAGAGAGGAAAACAAAAATGAAGAAAGAATGTTCTGTATGCACGTTTTCTTTTGAGACTTGTATCTTGCTATGTTGCCAAGGCTAGTTTCATGCTTATGAGAGCTCTATCCACTGTCCTGTTCCAACATTCTGAGTAACTTTGTCTATAGGTATATGCCACCATGCCTGCCTTTATGTTCTTTTGAAAGTCACCAAGAGATGAACCTTCAATGATATATACTTTATGCATTCCTGGTGAAAAAACTGAAATTAGAAAATATTACAATACCTGGCAAATTTGTGTTGACTCAGAGCTAACACCTTTCCTCTGATTTCAGAAACAATTTTGCTCTTGTCTTCAGGCCGACCATGTTCTAGTACATGCTGAATAACATAATTGCCATACTGATCCTACAGACAGATATTTAAAAATTATTTCCTGTTAGCTGTTTCTTTAGAATAATTATGATTCCTTAAAAAGATGTTAAACATTTGCCCCCAAGTCTAGAGAATCAAGAACACAATAAATTAATTTTACTGTTCAATAATAAATTATATTTCTTAAAACATACACACACTTCAAATTATTAAAGAATTCATACCTGTACTAACTGCTCTGTATGTTGGTGAAGTTCTTCCAAGATGGGTAAGGTCTGTTCTGCAGTACAATGCTCTAGAATACGTTGAATTACTCTGCAGCCGTAAGGATGGGTTGAAAGCACAAATACCTTAAAACAAAATAATTAAAAATTAAACTTCTGATATTTTTTAACAGTTTTAAAAGGTAGACAGATTTCTGATTCATGTTTACTACAACCCCTACGATGACAGCAAAAACTGGGAGGTTGTGGGAGAGAGTACTGAATTTATAGATAAAGATATTCTGACTGAAAGGAACTTAACCAGAAGATTGAGGGTATGTGATATTGTTGAAGAATGGAGGAAGGGTAGTTTAGAGCTGAGTGTGTACCTTCTTTTTAAAACCATTGAGACTTCTCCTTAACTCCCTCTCCCCAGGAAATTTGGAAAACATGTGCTTTATAATTTTAATAGTGATTATCTTAACTTCTTAAAATAATACTACCAAACTACTAAGTTTTTCAACTTGTGGGGCGGAGGGCAGTGAGAAACACTATCTAATGACTACAAAAGAGGCAGAAATTAATGTACATCTACTGTCTTGTCTCTTTATTTTTATATGCACATGCTGGTATTATCTTGAGACTCAAGAAAAAAACATGTTAATATTCAAAATATAAAATAATGCCCCGATAACAAATCAGAAGCCAAAAGCAATCTTACTTGTCCTTTGAAAGCATCAATGATGAACTGCAGTGACTGTGGCTGAACACATTCAATACATTTTTGTACAACGTGGTTTCCGTTCTGATCCTTCACACATTTGAGTACATGACCATCTAGCTCCTTTACCATTTCACTCTGCAAAGATGATGCCATTTAAAATTAACTAATCAAACAACATAACAAGATTAGAAATACTTAGGTGAGTAAAACATTATACTCAAAAATATTTCCTGTTTGTAATTTTTTAATATGAAAATTAAAAAATATTCCCTGAAGTATAATTAGAAGAAACCATTGAAACTGAGAATTATTAAAACATACTGGAGGACTGTAATGCTAATGATACATGTTGAAATATAACCTAATGATGCTGAATTTGCATGGTAGACAAACTTCTATCTTCACTGTATACACCTTCCTCTAATCAATCTTAGCTGGTAAAAACACATGTTTAGAATTCTAAAGTTCTGTCCTACTTAGCCTCTCTGCAGTCCTCGAAAAGGAATAATTATTTGTGGTGGTACTGGAGATGAACCCAGGGACACTTTACATGGAGCTACATTCTCAGTCCTTTTTGAGACAGGTCTTGCCTTAGCAACTTATTGCCCAGGCTAGTCTTGAACTTTATATCCCCTTGCCTCATTCTCCCAAGTACCTGGGATTACAGGTGTGATCCACCAAACCTGGCTTTCTTATATATTTTCAATGTTGGTATTTGTGTACACCCATCCACACACACCCATTTATCCATATTATTTTTGATTCTAAAATTTATTTTTATTACATGACATAAAAATTATTTTCTAAACTTACTAACATTACCTTCTAAGAAAAAAATTTCCTTAACTATGTTTTCATTGTAATATAGAAATCATTTATACATAAGAGTGTTTGTGGCAATTAATGTCATAGTAAAAGTATGTTTAATCTCATATAAGAATCCCACTCAGGGTCACTTCATAGGGTACACATGCATATATGTACAAATACACACATACTTAAAATTTTGTTACTGGTGCATCATAATTATACCCAACAGTGGGATTCACTTACATATTCCTGTACATGCACATAACAATATAATATGGTCAGTTTTATCCCCCAGTACCCCCCCTTTCCCTTTCCTCCTCCTTCCACAGTATTTTAAAATTCAGAGAATCAGCATTTATTCTTATTCCCTACTTTCAATATTCTTGTCTATTTCAAATAATTTTTAAACATTATTTTGATGTTTACAGTAAAAGTACCAGGAGTATGTGACTAGACTTGCATTAACACTTATTTACATTTTCCACCCATTTCCTCATTTAATTTATATGTGTTTTCTTTAACATATCACGGGCTGGCACTGTAGTTCAGTGACAGAGTGTTTGCCTAGAACACAGAAGGCCCTGGGTTCAATCATAAGTAGCAACTATGACAAGCAAAAAAACATGCATCATTTATCATTATTCTTGTATATAGTAAGCACTCAAATATCTTCAATGAAAGATATAGAAGGGAATGATTGGAGAGATCAAAGATCTGCTCTGTAACTTTTAAAGAGTAAGGAGTTATTTTAGACTTATCAAAAAAATTTAGTGTAATTTTAGAAATATCTAAAAATTGAATAAAATATTACAAAATTTTTTTCTTAACTTACAATTACCTGCTGGTCAGAAGAAATAGACTCTAATGCTTTTTGAATAACACGGCAGCCATACATCTGTAAGGCTAAAGGCAGAACATGACCACGAATACGAGTAGCCAAGGCTAGTTTTTGATCCAAACTTCCAAACTGACAGAAAAGAAAGTAACATTAATATAAAGTGACCATATTATTAAATCTTAATAAGATGCTTTGAAAAATCTGTTCAATCTGTTTTTAAAATATACCTCCCTGTTTTTTATTAAGTTGCATTATCTAAAATTTTCTTGTTACTATCACATTAACTACTGTTTAAAGTAACATTAGTCTTTTAAAGTTACGCATATTCATTTCTAACACACCCCCCAACATCTTTAATATGTGAACTTTGGAGCCATTCATTCAGACCACTAAAATTTTCTTATCCAGGTAATTTTCGAATAGTATTCTGATACAATTGAAGAGAAAAAACTGTTAAGCTGTTCTACAACAGATGTTTTAGGTAAATTACCAAATAGAACACACAAATTCAAATAAAGAATACAGTGGTATTCACTAACTGGTTCACCTAAGACTTATTCCTAAGATTTTACAATCCTAGGAATTAACAAACTTTAAAGTAGGTCCACATGTATAAAATCTCCCAGCCCTCATCTACTTTTCTGTTCCCATGAATGTGCTTTTGTAGATTTTCATGTAGGTGGAACCCTATGTTTGTCCTTTTGTGTCTGGTTTATTTTTAGCTTAACGTTTTCAAGGTTCTTCCATGCTGTACCATGTACCAGAAGTTCATTCCTTTTTATGGATGAATAATATTCTATTGTTTTGTATATAACATTTTGTTTATCCATTTATCTTGCTGATGGATAGTGGATCATTTCCTAACTTTGGGCTACTGTAAATAATGGTACAACGAACACTACTGTTCAAGTTCCTGTTTTTTAATTTATTGCATCATTTTATATTCCTATCAACAATGTATGAGTGTTACTTTTCTACATCCTTACCCATACTTGATATTTTCCGTTTTTAAAAAAATTATAGCCATTTTAGTAGGTATAAAGTAGCATCACATTGTGGTTTTGATGTACGTATCCCTAGTAATTAAGAATGTTTAGGCATCTTTTCATGGGTTAATGGCTATCTGTATTTTCTGTGGAGAAATGTCTATTCAAATCCTTTATTCATTTTTCAACTGGGTTGTCCTTTTTGTAGGACTTCTTTATATTATATTTAGATATAAAATCATTATCAAATATATGACTTGAATATATTATTGTATAAAAGTGACTTATCTATGTTCAGAGCTTTTCTCAGCTTTAAGTATGTGGATTATAATTGAATACAAATATGTATGCAAGCTTACCTCAAAAAATTTCTGTATAACATAGTTGCCAAAAACATCTGTCATTAATTGATAGGCTGCTTGTAAAATTTCATTAAATACCATCTGTCGTTCGGCTGGAGTAGCTCTCTCTAACTTCTGCTGTATGAACCTAGAACCATGCTGGTCTTGAGAAAACTCAACTATATGTCCAATCAAGTCTCTAAGTTGAAGGTTTGGGAAGCGGTTGTTTCTGAAATCTTCCAATAATCTACTGCGGCCAGAAGGCATAATATCAGACCTATTATACCGAAGCCGAGAAGGAGGAAAGAGCTGGCTGCTGGAGCTAAATAGACTGGAAGTGCTTGAAGCACTTCGATATTTTGCTTCTGCTCCAGGTGCTGCAGAGATATATCGTCCACTACCATTTGTCAGTCCTCCTACAACAAAGCAGCTGGTCAGCAGATAGTTTTGACAAAGTTATTTCTCAAATAAAAGTTACTTTTGTAATTAGCTAGTAAACAGATTAAAATCTATTTGAAGTATTAACGGAATAACACTGAGTGTTAAGTCTGTACTCTTTGAGAAAACATTAAAAATACATTGTCATATATACTTCTAGTAAAGATAAAACACCTTTTATTAACTCAATGTTTGGAGCTTAAAAAAAAAAAAGCCACACAATATTAAGTAATGATTCAAAGTATACACAATTTTAAGAGATTATTACATTTTAATTTAAATATACTCTCCATAAAATACTATTCTTTTGCAGACAAATAGTAATAAAAAACAGTAGTTATTCCCAGAGCTTTAATCACTTATGATGAATAAAAAAGCTGGTAACTAATGYCCTAGTCAACATAAGAAAATTAAAAGGCAGTCAATAGAAACAAAAACAAATACAAGAAGGAAATTGTTTTTATTATAAACAATTTATAAGTACTTGACAGTGTCCTTTTAAAAATGAAAATGCAAAGACCATTGCAAAATGCAGATTTTAGTAGTTCAGAAAAATCAAATCCACCATCACCTATTATTATATACCAACTCTGTTTAGAGTAGAGCGATATAGTCAGTCAGTTGGAACCATGGGGAAAAGATGTTCCTAAGGACACACTGTCAGTGCAAAGCCATACAGAAACATTAAAGGCCAAAAGGAATTATGAAGGTAGGGAGCAAATAGGAGTTTAAATCCTCGAGAACAAATAGGGTTAGAGCACTCTTATTTGACTCTCTGTTCTTACAGCCCTAGCTTTAATTTTTTCTACAGCATATTATACATTTGTTTATTAGAATCGAGTAACTCCTCCAATGTTAAGTGGCATCAAATTACATCGATCAACAGGTTATATAACCTGGCACGTAGAACAATGTCTAACATATAGCAAGTGGGTGCAAAATATTTCCTGAATGACAACTAGAAGCATACATATTTTATGTAGCATGGACTGCCTAAGGTTTCAATGTAGCATATCTTGTTTAAAATGTGTGTAATGAACAGTTCATCTTATACAACATCACTAATAACAAATTCTTGTTTTGTTTTTTCTTTCTTCTACATACATAACCAGATGAAATATGCAACTAAGAGTTCAGTGTTTGAATATTATCAATTTTATCACTACTTCCTACTCTTCTAGTCCCCATTACTTGTTTACATAATTTCATGAAATGTTCATAACAATAAATAATAACTAGCCCACCTGATCCTTTAACAATGCAATTAGCATGACATTTAAAAACCCTACTTTAATCTGGTCTTTATCACATCCCATGTCACCGGGTTTGCTCTAGCATCCTGGCCCTTTTTGTAGGGTAGAGTAGTTTACTTTTCAGTGTTTTTACACACATGAATTTTATTTCTCCTTTCAAAGGCTATTTTGAAGATATGGTAAAAAATCTACAGCATCCTGTTGAATATATCCTCAAACCAAGTTTTCAAATCTATTTCAAACCTATTTCTCATACAAATTTCCTTGTAATACACTATTTCCTTTTTGTACAGTAACTGTTCACTTTCATGCCCCCAAGCCCACTGGGTATTGAACCCAGAGGCGCTTAACTGCCCGAGCCACATCCTCAGCCCTTTCTGTACTTTTTTTTAGAGACAAGGTCTCACTGAGTTGCTTAGGGCTTTGTTAAGTTGCTGAGGCTGGCTTTGAACTCACAATCCTTCTGCCTCAGCTTCCTGAACCATTAGGATTACAGGTGTGTGCCTGGCATACCTTATTCTTTACTAAGATTTTCAATACCAAATTAAGAAATGCATACTTACCCCAGGAAATGACCAAACCAATTTTATTTGGTATCAAATGTCCTACCAATATCTACCAGGAATGTCTCCCATATCTATATTTCTTTAATTCTGTTCTATCAGCTCCTAACACCTAAATCCTGATGTAATCTTTACAAGGCGATTGCTAAGCTGCCTTGAGTTTTAAAAACCTTAGACTTTCAGGTCTAGAAAAACTAGCCTCAATTATAAAATAAGAAAAATTCTTTTACCCAGTAGGATACCTGCCTTACGTTAATTTTTACTCAGCATTTAAAACCCAATTTATAATATTCATTAAACATTTTAAATATGGTAGTTTAAGCATTGAAAAAAGGTCATCTAAAACCTTGAGGTTAAGGAACATTCTAACAAAACAATGGACTATACTCATGTTCTTCAAAAAAAAGGGGAAGGTATAAAAACATCAATCTCCTGACTGTGATAACTGTGGTTACACGAAAGACTATCCTCATTTTCAGGAAATATATACTGATGAATTTATAAATTCAGAACTTTATGTCTGCATCTTCAAAGAATCAGAAAAATAAAATTTGTGTTTTGTGTGGAGGGCATAGGGAGATGACGATAAAATGAACATGGTAACATGATAACTTTTGGAGAATATGAATGAAGGATATCCTGGGATTTTTAAAACACAAGTTGTATACTTTTCCCATGATGCTGAAATTATCTCCAAATTAAAAACACACAAACCAGTCACCCATATTTATACTTCTGATGTTCGTAGTCTAGTGTGCTGCCCCTTACATAGGTTATCTTTCAAGTTCACTCATAATTTGTTGACAGTAAACACTTTACATTTTTACTAGTAGAAATAATAAGACTTTACAAGTTTTTCATTAATTTCTTTGAGAGATCTACTGTTTTACAATCTTTCCCTATTAAACACCAGAAGCCAAAAATATTTAAAAATATAGGGAAAAACATGGGAGAAAAGCAATGCAACAACTGAGAAACAAAAAGAATCTGATTAGCCTTTGTTTTCTAACCTCTTGGGATTGCAAAGACAGGTCCTCAATCTGTGYGACAAATCATTATATTCTTTTTAACAACCAATTGATGATAAGTAGGAAAACAGACTTCTGAGTCTTAGAATTACCTTTCTTAGTTTAAAAAAAAAATCTACCTGATGGCTATTCTGATAGAACAATCTGAAGAACAATGAATTCGATCAAAATAATTTATTTAAAGGCTAATTTTACAACATGTTTTACTACTAATTTAAAATAAAAATGGCCATTCAAGTAGATTTGGAGTCCTGCACAAGGCACAACTCCATATAGGCCAAAAGGGAGAGTATGTTTTATAAGGCAAGGCTCTGGAATTCTTCATAAATAAAAAGATAATAATGAAACATAACTAGTTTAGTTGCAATAAGAAAGAATCAATGACACAAAATGGGTATCTGGGAAAAAAAAAAAAAAAAAAAACCTAAAAGTAGTCTACATTAACTTCATGCCTAGCCTGTAGAGGTCCATTTAGTAGTTTTAGCTCAGTATTTTTTCTCTAATCAATTTTCTTTTTCTTTTATTTTTATTTTTAAGAGGGGAGAGGGGAGGGAGGGAGGGGGAGAGGGGAAAGGGGAGGGAGAGAGGGGGGGAAATTTTGATATTTATTTTTTAGTTTTTGGCAGACACATCTTTGTTGGTATGTGGTGCTGAGGATTGAACCTGGGCCGCATGCATGCCAGGCGAGCGTGCTACTGCTTGAGCCACATCCCCAGCCCCTCTAATCAATTTTCAAAAGAAGTATTTGAAACATTTAAAGTAGACTTCAACAACCATGGATAATCTGACTTTCTGCTACATCTGTCTGCATGTTGCTTGGTTTTAGTGGTAAAACTCAAAGTTGAGGAGTGGGGGAAAAAAAAGACTTCATGGCAGTGTTTCTCAATATRCACACAAATGACTTTGGGATTATGGTAACATATTTCTAAATACTCGTAGTTTATAGAATAAAGTAGACCTTGGGCCCAAAGCATATAGTAATTTATTACTTTGTTGAGAAAGAAAAAAATTATTACTTTGTTGTGAAAAAAAAAACTCTTTATAGAGTATAATTCAATATACTCTCTGGACATTATACATGGTCTTTTTATCCTTCTGTACATAGGCAGCTACCACTTACTACTACCACTTACTTACTTAATATTCTCTATAAGACTGTGATAGACAAATTTGGAATAAAATGATACTGTGTTGTGTCCTCCAAAGTCATTTTTAAAAATGTTTAAGCCACTCAGTTGTGACAACTTGTTCTATAGTAAACTTCCAAGTTCTTCTACCTTCTATCCATTACCCAGATGGCTAAGAGTTTGTTGGTGGACCAGAGGGCCAATTCCATAGTGTTGTTTTGTCCCTCCTCTCAAATATGTTCGTTTAAGTTCGAATCCCTTATACCTGTAAATACGATATGATTTGGAAACAAGGTCTTTGCAGGTGTTACCAAGTTAAAATGAGGTTATACTTGACTAGTATGGGTTCTATCCAATGACTGGTGTTCTTACAAAACAGAGACATAGAGAGTGCTATGGAAATGGAGGGGAAGTGATTTATCTACAAACCATAGAAAAGAGAATTGCCAGTAACCACCAAAAGCTGGAAAAAGGCAAGAAAAGATTTATTCTCCAGAGACTTTTAGAGCATGGTTATACCTATGCATTGATTTTAGATTTCTAGACTTCGGAATTGTGAAATAAATTTCTGCTGTTTGAAGCCACCCAATTATAGTAATTTGTCACAGTAGCCCTATAAAAGTAATACAAATGCCATTCTTTTTTCAATTAAAAAAATCATGTATTAGCTTGAATACTGAATGTTAAGAATATTTATATAATACAAATGCTTAAATGAAGATATTGAAGTCATTATGATTGATTAAAGTTAAAACAAAGACAGTATTTTTTTTTTTTTAAAGAGAGAGTGAGAGAGGAGAGAGAGAGAGAGAGAATTTTTAATATTTATTTTTCAGTTCTCGGCGGACACAACATCTTGTTGGTATGTGGTGCTAAGGAGGATCGAACCCGGGTCGCACGCATACCAGGCGAGCGCGCTACCACTTGAGCCACATCCCCAGCCCAAAAGACAGTATTTCTTTCCAGATTAATATACAAATGACTCAGGCGTATGGCCCCCCCCCCAA